CAGAAGGTCAGTGTTCGTGGGTCCCGATAGGGGAGGGGCCAGAGGTTTGTGCTTAAAGGGCATGGCTGTTCTTGGGCGGCGCTTGAGAATCATATTTTCGTATCCCTCTTCACAATGTAAATAAAACCGTGCTGAAGACACGAATCTTTCCAGGAACGACCCCAACAACAAACTCTGTTTGGCTTCATGATCTGCTGTGGCCTTCGGCGAGACATTCCAACGGATCTGATCTTGGGTTGTAGGAAATACACTTATCAGTCAGGACGCTACAGATGAAAGTATGTTTAATTCATGCTTTGCGTTATGGTCGATCTTTTGACTTCCATCTTGGGGAACGCCGGTACCCGAACCTACAGTACGAAACCCAGAAGCCTTTTGACTCTTCCCTGATATCTAAGCTGTCCTCAAGCAGGTCAACGGAAGCTCATGTAGGCTCTTTGCGGATACACGGAGCGTGTTAATAGTAGTAGCAGCAACAGCAGCAGCAGCAGTGGCAGGAGCAATAGGAGCAGTAGTAGCCGTAGCAGCATCACCGGTAGCAGCAGCAGCCGTAGCAGTAGTAGGAGCACTAGGAGTAGTAGTAGTAGTAGTAGTAGTAGTAGTAGTAGTAGTAGTAGGAGTAGTAGTAGTAGTAGCAGCACCAGCAGCAGCAGCATCCTAGCAGTAGCAGTAGTCGTCGTGGTGGAGATACTGTAGTAGTAGTCGTCGTCGTCGTCGTCGTCGTCGTCGTCGTCGTCGTAGCAATAGCAGCAGCAGTAGCGTAGCAGTAGCAGTAGCAGCGGTAGCAGTAGTAGGAGTCGTCGTCGTAGCAATGTTAGTATAGCCGTACTGCACCAGCAGCATTCTGAAAAACGACAAGTTTCTGTGCACTGGGCTCATAATATACGGGCCTTAATGATTAGAATAGGGCTTTGGGGCATCTTACACTATATTTATAATCAGGAACCCCCAGAATAGTACAGGCAATTTTCCAGGCCCCTAAATTATCTCAGATCCGGGCCATCCCAGTCGTACCATCCTTGCTGCCACCTTCAGAGCGCTTCTTGAAGCGAAGCCAATGCAACCACATCGTCATGTTTCCAGTGTTCCTGGTGCCTCTAGCCAGGGATCTGTATGGCTATGTCGCTTGATGAGAACGCCACAAAATGTCTGCATTCGGGCTTTTAGGTTTGGGGTTCTTTCAGAAAAAACAGATCACCGCAAACCCCAAACCTCAAACATGATTAGACAGGCTCCAAATGCAAGACTCTGAACCGTTGCCCTTGCGGAAACCCCTAGAACCCCAACCCACAATAATCTTAAACTCTGAACCCGCATACGACACCTTCATTGTAACCCTTGTTGCGCCTGTCATCTCCGATGTAACTATAAAATCCTTGTGCAGGAGCCCCTATACCCGAACCCCAGATGTAGTAAGACAACCCTGCCCCAAAAGCCGCAAGCTTAAACGCCCCGACTTCGGCTGAATCCTTCGTCGCTTTTTGTTTAGGGCTAGAGTGTAGTGCTTAGGGTTTACGAGTTTAGGGCTTTAGGGCCATTTCAACACCCGACACACACACACAGAGCTGAAACTTTAATGTCTCAAAACCCCTTCTGAAAATTCAAATCCTTTGAACCGTGACCCTTGAACCCCCAACGCCCTAATATAATTCAGCCGAAACCTGAGCTAGCTGCCCTAAAGGCCTAACGCCTTGAGAACAACGAGTAAAGCCCTGCCGCTCATGTCATACCGGCATGAAACCCCTACAGAACCGTTCAGCAAACCGTTGTTAGATCCCTGAGAAGACGTAATACTATAGGGGCCTTAATAATTAGACTAGGGGTTTGGGTTCCCCTGTAGCAGAGTATAGATATGATAATTAACCCTTATTTAGGCTTCTATACCTTAAACTACCAAACCCTACTTTTTTGTAGGTTCCTATTATAAACCCTAATATGGTATTTATAGGGACCCTACAAAAAAGTAGGTTTTGGTAGGTTAAGGTATTCTCGCCAAACCTGAAGCCCTGGCCTGTCTGCTTCACCAGAGCTACAGAGGCCACCTCGGCAGACACTTCGATTGCAATGCTGACCCGAAATTCGAAGCCCCTTTTTGAACCCAGACTCTGCCAATCAGCTGGGAAGCAGCCCTAAACCCTAAACCCTAAACCCCGCAGCACTTCCAGACTATTCAAATCCTAGGCCTTTTAGGCCGTAAACGGAACTTCTAGGCTGCAGCGTCCCTTGGCTTTTCAGCAGCTTCTTCTGGTATGCGGTGGTTGCCACAAGTCAGGAATAGCTGCGAAGATCATGTAGCTGCCGGCAATGGCCAAACACAACATGCCATGGGCACCCCACACCCCCACGACGGCAAGACGGTAAACCACAGAATTAAGCCCAGCCCATGGCTATGTCATTGCAAACAAACCTAAGATAGTCCCTTAACGCGAAGCCCTTCTGTAACTCTTAAAACGACCCAGGTGTTATAAAGATTGTAATAAGTTTGATAGAGCTCTCTCTCTCTCTCTCTCTGTCTCTGCCGTTGCATCCAGAATGCCTACTGGTAACCACGGATTTTGGGGTTCAATCCTTCTAGCTTGGGGTTTGGGAGCTACAGAATAGGTTTAGTAGTTCAGCATTAAGTATTAAGGGCTCCAGAGCTGTTTTCTGAACTCATGACCCTCTTGCTCCAGGCTGACCCTTTTGCAACTGGCTTGCAACGTCACGCCAGGACAGCCGTCTCGCTCCACGCTGCACGCTGCACTCGCGACCGCATGAATCCAGGCTGACCCCAAACCCTAAACCCTAAGCCCTAAACCAGGACCCCCGAGCTGCAGTAAAAGCAACAGACGAATCTCTCAGGACCGGGCTGTTGGATGCCATGATGCTGAGAAAAAGGTTGAGTGTCAACAGCGCGTCGCTGCCTGCCTGGGTTTCGGTTTAGGGCTTGTTTTCTCTTAGGGTTTAGGGTTTAGGGTTTTCGACTCACACACTCCCGCAAGACAGGCATGGCTTCACGACGTCGGAGATTGCTACCCTAACCGCTGAGAAGCAACCCTGCATCCGAAGTACGTCAGTCAACCAAACACCCGCAGACTCGGTTTCAGCACTCACAGCTGGGAGAAGTCGGGCGAGGTTACTGGTGCGACGCCGATGGCTCATTGGCCCGAGCAGGGCTGTTTCGTCTCACCCAAAACGACCTAAACTCCTTTCAGCGACTCTAATCGACTCTAATTCATACAACCATCAGACCCCTAAACCCTAAACCCTAAACCCTAAACCGGTTTAGGGTTTCGGGTTCAGGGCTGGGCCCGGCATTGCGAAGCAAGGTGCCCGCATTTCCACGCTAGTGACGAGCGGATTGCGGGTTGAGTACAGTTTAGGGTTTAGGGTTTAGGGTTTAGGGTTCAGATCTCGATAGCTTGTGACATGATTTCTGCAGAAACCCTGGAGCGCACATAAACAACTCCAATGATCAGGGCTCGCTATTTCAGAACTATCAAAGTCAGTACAATAATTGCTTCTATACCATAAAACAGTACCTAAACTGACTTTGAGATCCCTTCAAAACAGCCAAAATAGCAGGCCTGTCCAATGCACCACGCTGAACCCTGGAGCATAAACCTCCTTAGCCCCTGTGCAGATTCATGCCAAGAACCAGCAAAGAGGCCCATGCTTTACGTTATTTCATGTCTGGGCACCTAAAGCGAAAAAACCCCGCAGATATACGTAGAGCCATGATAGACCCGAAAAACCTGTTCTAGTCAAGCCCCCAACCTCAATCCTAACCCCACGTCCTAAATTCTGAAATCGCTAAGCCCTAACCCTAACCCCCCAGCTACCTACTATGTAGGGTACTAGAGCCATTAGGGCCCTATATAGTAGTTACCTGGATGGTTCGGGTAAAACCTGAAACGTCTAATGCTGTCAGGGCACCGTGTGGCTCCGGCCGTAGCGTTGAACTCCGAGACGTCGAGCCCATGCGTCCAGGGAGCCAGTGGGCCTCGTATAGGTAATTATTACCCATAGGCCCTAAAGTAGTTCCTTTTTGGGTTCATATTTAGAATCCTATTAGGGAATCCCAAAACGGAACTACTATGGGGCCTCTATAGGTAAGGCCCCTACATTCATGTGGACTGCAGTCAGAAGCCAGACAAAAGGCCGAATCGCATGTCAGCCTCGTCTCTGTCGAACCCTCTGCGCCGTAGCGGCTCAGGACGAAACAGTAGCAACAGCCCCGGGAATCGACTTGGGACTTTCCGAAAATTAGGGTACCTTATTGTGGGGTCCTTATAATAAGGAACCTATTATCTAGGGTACTATATTAGGGTCCCCTATTTTCAGAAACCCCCACTTCGTGACATCTATCGTGGGCGCCGAAAGTCCAAGTCATATCCGTGTCCAAGCTCAAGGCTGGGCTGCTGAGTGATGCTGCATGGGCTGTCCCAAAGCTATGCCGTTGTTAAGGGGTCTTGGGCTCTCTGGCTCCTCAGCGGCGTTGAGTGCGGGAGCCGAGTTGCAAATACTCGCGAAGCTCGTGGAGACGTCGACCTGGAGTTGGCCAAATTACACAGTTTAGGGTTTAGGGTTTAGGGTTTCAGGCGCCATAATTAGAATAGGCTTCCTTTCAAGGGTTCAATGAGGCAGGGCCTGAGCCTTCGATTTTGTTGAATGCTCTTTTCCATTGGTCCGTGCCTGAGTTCCCGGCCTCTTCCGCAAGGGCCGCAAGGGTTTAGGATTTCAGGAAGTTTGAGGCTTGTGTTGGGTTTGGGTTTTACGCTTTGGGGTGTCAGACTCACCAAACTATTGACTGGGAAGCTCCCTGCAAATGCAAGAAGACGATCCACACATCCTCGCAAGCAACGTGCATCAACATCTTGCACCAGCCAGTCTTCTTTTTACCACCGGGCGCTCCAAAATCAAAAGTTACAGGTCGTCGAGCCTTAGATTTCAAGGCTGTTTGAAACAAGACGTCGTAGTGCCGCTGAGTCCCGCTGCCCTCAGTTTCACGGCGCATGCCCTCACGAACACTTCCAAGGATACTTCCTGGTCGAGATCACCTTCAGGGTTTAGGGTTTAGGGTTTAGGGTTCAGGGGTGCCGAACGGCGCCGACACATGCTGGACAACGAAGATTGGAAGAATTGAGTCGGCAGTGCAAATGCATGCATGAAGCACTCGTGCTGAGACTCAGTAGTGGCAGTAGATCGTTCGAGTGGCTGTGGTGGTGGTGGTGGTGGTGGTGGTAGTGGTGGTGGTGGTGGTGGTGGTGGTGGTGGTGGTGGCGGCGGCGGCGGTGGCGGTGGGGGTGGCGGTGGGGTGGCGGTGGTGGTCTGCGGTGAAGGTGACAATGGCATTGATAGTGGTAGTGGTGACAGTAGTAATCGTCGTCATCGTCGTCGTAGTACGAGGTTAGTCGTAGCAGTACGTAGTCGAATTGTCGTCGTGGTCATGGCGTGGCAGCAGCTCTTGTAGTTTTCGTCGAAGTAGCTTCGTCGTCGCGTTGCTGCCTACACGCCACATCAGCATTATCGTGCAATGAATCAGAAGATGCGCCAGCCTGACTGGAGCAGTAGACAATGACCTCCTGGCCATCCCCCGGGTCAAACTCGATGGAGTCGTAGCCTCAAGGGCCGATGATGGGCTCTGAGTGAACGCTGCGGCCGCTACTGTTGACGACGGTGTTACGTGATTAGTAGTTTCGCTTCTAGTCATCTAGCCGTCGTCGTTGCCGAAGTGCCAAAACTTGACGGTTCGTAGGCTTGCTTAGACAGTCTAGGACTAGAAATGGACAAACAGTGGCACCGCTTTCCGGCAGCTTCTACAACACACACACACACACACGTAAAAACACACAAGGGGAGCTGAATGGTGACCCCTACGTGCTGAGAAGACTGAACCCTGAACCTGGCTTAGCTCTAAGCCCCTGATTCCTTAACTTAAATTAAACGCTAAACCCTAAACCCTAAACCGTTATTAAACTGAACCCCAAAACCGCTAGAACTAGAACCCTCACCGATCCAGAAGCCTCACCAGTACCCAGAAGTCCTCAAGGCCCTCCAAGCCCTAAACCCGATGCCGCAAGCCCTAGACCTACATGCCCCCCAAACCGTAAACCCCACAAACCCTATAAGCCCTAAACTCCACAAACCCTATAAGCCCTATACCCCACAGACCCTATAAGCCCTAAACCCCACAAACCCTATAAGCCCTAAAGTTCCTAAAGCCCACAGACCCTATAAGCGCTAAACCCCACAAACCCTATAAGCATTAACGCCCACAAGCCCTATGAACCCTAGACCCTACAAGCCCTCTAAGCCCTAAAGCCCACAAACCCTATGAACCCTAGACCCTACAAGCCCTCTAAGCCCTAAAGCCCCCAAGCCCAAAAAGGGTTCACCGTGGAGGAGCCGGCACGCAGGAGACCCTGCCCCTGCAAGGACTGCCCATTGACCTTGCACTTGTGATCCCCGTAGGCCACCCTGCCGACACCTTGGGGCTTAATTAGGGATTACCTATAGGCCCCATAATAGTTCCTTTTGGGTATTCCCTAATAGGATTCTAAATATGAACCAAAAAATGAACTACTTTAGGGCTAAGGCTTAGGGGTTAAGGCTTCAGAATTTCGGTTCGGGGCGTGTGGGTTTAGTGTTAAGGTTGAATTAGGCCCTTGTTTCAGGGGTTGGGGTTTGAGGTTAGGGAATGCTTGTTGGGGGCATACGGCAGGCTTCCTAAGCTTGCTTTAGAGTTCTTTTTGCGGCATTTTTGAGTACACAGTCAGGAGTTTTGGGTTGCATCATGAGAACAGCACGTTAGGCCAACTGGCTTCTATAAATAGGAACTCAGCACTGTCACAACCAAGTGGTGCAAGTAGGGCTAAGGCGAGCTTTACACAAAACATAGTATCGGCACGTGTGGCGGACACTGCTACGCGAGACGGGGCCAGACGCGGCTCTCCACAGAAGAGGGCAGACAGGCAGTACCGGCGCGTGGGCGGGCATAGATAGGAAAAAAGTAAAATAGCGTCATGAATCAACAGGAGTTCGGCTCTTCTGCTTTCCAACTGTCCAGAACTGCTACTGCTACGCCCTTACATGTTCGTGCTACCATTGTTCTGCCGTTTGTCATAAAGTGTCTCAACGTCGGCCCAGATCCAATTTGACCCCACCTGAGCTTAGGGTTTAGGGTTTAGGGTCAAGACCCCTCCCCTAAACCCCAAAACCCTAAACCCTGAACCCTAAACCCTAAACCCTCAACCCAGCCCCTCCACAATCGTCGAGATACGGACGCGAGCTTCGATCATGAAGCCTTTGTGTGAGTCAGGTCCGATCGCTTTGGTGGTTGTCGCATCTGGGCTCCTGCGCCATACTGCGAAACCCACCCCCCCTCTGCGGGTGTGTGTGTATATATATATATGTAAATTTATATATATATATATATGT